ACTCTCATTTGCCTCCTGCAACGCGGGGAGATGACACAGGCGCAAGCTGAGGTTCAAGGTGAGGGTTCAAGCTGGCGCATAGCCTTGCATAGAAGAAAAGTAGATGGGATCATTTAAGGCATTTCAAGTGGTCTTTATGGTGCAGAGTATATCTTAAGCAATTACATTCCTTATATGGGCCTCTTAGTGTGCCGTAAAGATGTCATGAAACAGCAAGAAACACAGTTGAAAGCAGCGTTTTAGGCAGCATGGCCCTCTTAGTGAAAAAAATACTTTCAAATGTTCAGATGTAAGACATGTATGGTGTGCAGTGCAGTCTTCAGATGTCTTTTTTAGCGCGTCTTGTTTCCGATGGGTATGTGCAGTAATATAAGTTTAGCACCTTGGCTGAGAACAAGGCCACAGCTTAGTTGCCAGATCTGGCCAAACCCGAAAAGCGGCAATAAATGTGGTGAAAAACAATGGCATTACCGGTGCCTCACCAATACTTTTCCTGCATTCACCCCGTAATTAGTTCCGGTTAACCTGTGGATTTAATGCGCCTAACAAAGCCCTTGATTTCCTCGTCCTCAGTGACCTCGCTCTCTGAAGAGCGCCCGAGCTATTCACATAGCTGTATTCAGGGCCATAATTTGCTCTGTTCGGAGACAGACCACAAGTCTCACGCATCACCAGCTGCGCCCTCGCGTCTGGCACTCCCATGCCCATATCTAGCGGTCGCCGCCGACACCTGCCCTTCCAGTCCCGGCCTCCCACGGCGACACATTCGGCCGGTCACGAGCCGTGCGCGGACGTCCGTCTGCCCCGACCGTGACCTGCACGAGTCCCGCCTGACGCAGCGCCGGCTTCCTGGACCGCCGGCTGGTGACAGCGGCCTTCTGTCCGCTCCTCTCGTTTGACGTCACGCGGACAAGCACGAGGTGGGATGGAGTGCATTTCGTTACTGTTTGCAGCTGTTCTTCAGCTTGAAGGAAATGTCAACACGCACGCCGTTACAGGATGGGCCAATGTGTGGAGAGGCGTCCAAAGGAGACGCCGCACCTGGTCATGCGTTGAGAGTGGCAATTAGGCTGTCGAAGACTTTTTTGTCGCTGTCGCTGTTTGTCGCTGCGTCTAAGTGACCGAAATTTTCCTGGATGAGGCCAGACTGTCTGTTCCGTGCGACCCTGGCCTGCCGTGGTGAACTTAACAATTCGTGCAGGATGAAGACAAGGCCGCGGGTCAAAAGATCGTGTGACCTGGGAGTCGGTGTTGTGGCTTGGGATTTCCGATGGCTTGGAAATTTCTCCAAGGAGAAAGGAAACTATCAATATAGTTCCGTGATGTTTGTCGCTAGATACGATTCCATCATTATCTTCAGTTACAGCCAACAGATATATACACATTTATCTCCAATTTAGAATATCCAGCCCGCTGTCGTTGTTCCGCGCCTGTCTACATTGTCGATTCCGCACCACGAAGTGACGTGACTGGCCTGCATTTGCAGACGGTACCGTTGCGAAGCCGGTAGCGGAGAGCGTACAGACAGGCAGGCGGCGGCTGTACCCGCCGAGCATTGACGCCCCCCGCCTCTGCTCCCTTCTGACGTCATAGCCATGTAACGGCCACTCGTTAACGTTGGTCGTAAACTAGCCGGCCGATGGTGTTATGGCCTCTTGATTGGCGGTGACGGCTTGGCGTAATGGCCGAGGTGTGGCGTCTAACGCGTGGCGGTAATACCGGACGCGCAAGCTTAAGGTAATACGGACCGCAAAGTGCGTTATTTGAAGCTCAAACTGAAGCATGCAAAGTGTGCGCTTTATTTATTTCTTGCAAAGTGCGGAGCAAAATTATCCAACGTGCTTGTGTGCGGTCGTTTGGTGGTGGGTAATCAAATTGCCACTGATGAACATTTTTATCAGCGATAGCATTTGCGCTTGCGGGAGCGTGGAAAACTGAGGGAACTGGAGTCAAAATGCCTCTTAATGCCGTTTTTACTACACAAGCTACAGTGTTAACTTCGTCGTTAAAATCTGCTCCCAAGTTGATGGTTTGCTGCAGCTGGGACGTCCGACATCATCTGCCCCTGCACCCCCTCCTCCCCTCTTTTTTTCACGGGTCTCATCTAAAGAGCATATTCTCGTAGTGCACTGCATTCATGTAGCTGGTCATGACACCGGTTTATTTTCAGCTCCTTTTAGATGTCCTGTTAGATGCCCTGATCCTGTTAGATGTTAGATGTGTTTGACATACGGGGCAATGACAGGGATATCCATTGTCGTGATGTAGATGAAACGGAACCAAAGTTATAATCAGCGCTGGGAGCCCCATGCAAGTGGGCTAACAAAATTGAAAAATTGATGCTGATTTTACCATTTTGGGGAATGGTCATATTTACAAAAGCGTGCGTATTCAGATGACAGTCTGTGACATTTAAAATCGGTTTCCAAAAAGGTGGCATTGACAGCTGCCCGTTGGATCACTGGCGCATATTCGGGTTGGACAGCGTCAGAACGGCCCGGTGTGTTGTGGACAGCTAAGTCGGCCACATGGCGCGGTTTGCCTCACATGCTCATCTGCACCAGCTGCTGCGATCTGACACCATTGCTTAAAACGCCCCAACATGGGTGGATGGAGGGTCTGCTCTCAAGCGCTCGGGACCAGCTGCAAATACCCACACACACTTCCGCCGCTTCGACAGCGCGGTCTCTCCGCCGTCAAATCATACTGGTCACGTGCCATTGCGGCGTGGGCTACCGGCGTGGGCTACCTGGCGCTTGTGGTGACACGTGTTGTGCGGCTTTTCCGTGCATGGCAATTGCTACGATTTCCATGTAAATCAAAACAAGAAGTCTCAGTCGGTTCTGAAGGAAATATAAAACAAGGTCGCGTCTAAACAAATAGCCTGAGCGGAATGTCACAATATGCATACAATGAAACTTCTGAGGAAATGCACTTCTTGCTGGTGAAAAATGCATGAAGCCGTGGGCATTGCTTTATAGCCCTTAGAAAGTTTTTTTTTCGTGCCGGGCCGCCCAAGCTGAAATTGTTTTGATGTTTAAATAACACTGGCTCGGCCGGTGGTCTGGATGGCAACGCTGCTCCCGCGCGATGTAAGACGGCTTTATGTCTTTCGCTTTTCGAGTTGAAGCACCTAACCAACTTGCAACCCAGGTACATTAACATTATCCTAAATAACATTTTACCCATGTGTGCGTTCGTGCTTGTGTAGACGGTTCCAGTTAAGCGAACAGTTGTGTGCGTCATTTGTTATGCAATGCAGATGCAGCCGAAACACGAAATAAGTAAAAAGACAACGATGATTGTTTTAACGTAGCATGTAAACGTTGTGTGTATCAGAAGTTTTCTGCATATATTCATGACATGACAGCCGGAGAGATCAGTGCTAGCTTTTTTTACAAGCGCACATGCGTTTACGTACATCATGTGCTCATCGGTATAAACGCCATGGTATGAAAAAAATGGCCAGCATGATAGCGTGTTATGGTTGTTTTTCACTCGACAACTTACAAATAATATCGCATTTCATCGTGTGCCTATCCCTGTTTTGCCGTCCGCACTTGGGCTTCACAGCCTCCGCCAGACGGAGGTGGGAGTCAAGGCTGAGGTTCAGGGCCGACCGAAAGGGAGGAGGGCGGCGTGGCATCCGCGTGCTCCTAGCGCCGGCCGCCGACACATAGGGCGATCGATGAAGACGCCCAGGCTGCCAGCCAGACAGCACCACCGGACGCAGACACGCAAAGCTGGCCGAGGCGCGGTACTGAGTGGACCTCTCTGTCGGCTCCAGGCTTGTATCCCCAATTTGAGCGGTTTGGGATTTCGTATTCGTTTGCGGACACGTAATACACAACATCTTATTTCCCAGTGCTCTGCTCTTTAAGGCAGCGAGCTTCGAAGGCTTCAGTAGGTATATATTTGTTCCAAATCACACATGACGTTAAGACTAATGGCAGACTCGGCGGGGAAAGTGAAGAAAGACCACTGAAATGTTCAGTTGGACACGATGCACGACTTGTTCAGCTTCTTCGAGCTGCGTTTAGAAATCAAAATAATTTTGCGTTGATATCTAGCATCAATTGTGAACAATAGCTGCCTGATCTTGCGAAATTACATAACGGTTGTCAGGATGCTAAACGGGCACCCAGAGATTTCACGGACTTCTATAAGGGATAGCAAACACTCAAAAACCGGCTTATCATTCGGAAAAATTGCAGTTTCAAACGGATCAGTTCACATTGCCGCCCGCTAACACGAAGACAGGATCCGACCACGCGTGACGTCGCTGTTGTGCACCGTTGCAAGTCATGCAATATGATGCACTTCCGCGAACGGATGCCGCGCGATGGGTGGAGGTACAGCATTTTTTCTCATTCACCACCCTCGCCATATATACCCAAGCCCTGCAAGGCTTCAGGCACAATGCTGCTTTTTGCACTACCTAATGCCACCATAGAAAATCGAAGGTTGTTTATTGTGTGACTCAATGCTTCACGTGTAAGTAGCTACCATAAGCTAGTGTGTGCATTTACTTAACCAGATTAGAAACCAGGCATAAAATGTCATTGTAGACGCGCAACTCTGCATTGTCGCCAGCCTCAACTTACCCTTGCCATCAGTTTTACGAACTTTCTAAGTTCATGCTGAGGCGTATGCCACAGACGAAGGTAACAGGATGTTCAGACGACATTTATCAGTGTGGATCACGACCTTCGTGCTTTGCGAAGACTGTGATGGCATGGCGTCAGGGCCGTCGCTGCAAATGACAATGAATGGATGTCACGGATGAGAGGGAACTTCGTCGAGTTATGGTCACGTCTCACTTTGGAGAAGGGATGGGCCCCGCCCAGCCCCAGAGACTCAAATAGGACGTCATTTTATGGTGATATCTCGATTACCATTGCGATGAATTACCTCATATACTCTCCGTGAAGGCTCCTTGGGCATCCATCCACGAGAATGCATGGCTTTTAGTGCCGAAGTCGTTTCCATGTCGTCAAACTTTGTTCCTTTTATCACTACAGTCCCTTTACGAAAATAAAATGTGACATCTTATAATTCAGTTTTGAAGAATATTGTTGGGGCACTAGCACAAAACACGGCCTACTTGGGCTTCTCAAATCAACAAGCACTTGTAGCCCACCCCGCAGAAATCCCAAGAAAAGGATACCTACATCTCTTGTCTCTGCCATAACTTTCAGCTGTGTTTTGCCGTTCCTACCATCATGCGATTAGGTGAAGTTCGCGTAGCCGACGACCACGATTTCGAGGAGCTGTCTTACGCGGTTGATAATCTGGATGGCTGGAAGCTCGAGTACTTTCACGCACCCAGTAAGGTATGGGTCAAGCACTCCGACAACACAGACTTCCACATGATCAAGGTGAAGACAATGTTCAGCGACGTGGATGCAGCCTGTGTTTACGACGTTCTGCACGACAACGACTATCGGCGCACCTGGGACCGTTTCATGCTAGCCTCCAGCTCCATCGGCTGCCTCAACGCTAACAACGAGCTCAACTACTACGCGGCACGCTGTCCGGCGCCTATACGCAACCGTGACCTGGTACTACTGCGCTCCTGGCTGGCCACCGAACGCGCCTACTACGTTATGAGTCACTCGGTGTTCCACGCGCAGTACCCGCCGCGTCCCAACCTTGTGCGCGCGTTCACCCACCTCACCGGCTTCGTAGTGCGCCCCCTCAGCCCGCGCGGCTGTGAGCTGCACTACATAACGCACACGGAGCCGGGCGGTCGGCTGCCCGCCTGGCTGACGAACCGTGTGACGCAGAACCTGGCGCCGCGCCTGCTCCGCCGGCTCCATTGCGCCGCGCTCGCCTACCCCGCCTGGAAGCGCAAGCACGACACCGTGCAGAAGCCGTGGCTGTTCCCGGAGCAGATGAGCTCGGTGCGCGTAGACTTAAGCCTCTGTCGCCGGAGCCCCCTGGAGGAGAGCGAGCCACCTCCAGATGAGTCGGCCGCCAAGGTGGAGGACCGCATAGCGGAGAACTACTTCAATCTCGTTGATCGGTAGCGGCCTGACACCTGGTGGGCGGCTGTCAAAGATGAAATGCAACGCATTGCCGCGATGAAGCCATTGCCTCGACCGAGGGAGAGCTGGCCCTTTTGTTTGATCTACAGAAATGATAAAATGAGTCACCCGAAGCATAATTCCCGCAATTGCCTATTTGGTTATAATTCTGTACTCAATATAGCATACTTTTGGACTGCAGCTACCCTTCTTTCCACAAGGCTTGCTCAGTGAGAGTAGACTGGGGCTAGACCTTAGCTCCAAACTTTGGACGCTCGGTGGCGTCATCGTTCGCACCCGAAAGCGTTAAGAAACTTGAAAAATAAACCATCGGGTAGTTTTGTACGTTAGCTTACTTTGGGTGATTCATCACTCAGGCTTGCAAACGGAGTTTCTTTAAGGTCCGAACTCCGAAGTGATACTTCTGATTTAGTAGTCCTCACTTGTCGCCTCGCTTGCGGCAGTTCTCGACGATTATATGACATAAGCGGCGCCACGGTATTTTCAGCGCTTAACCACGGCGGCACGCGTATCAGCACAAGCCTTCGGGTTATCGCACGTAGGACAGGCGTAGCAGTGCGTTTGCGTTAACTCTTGATTACTTTGGATAGTAATAGGGGGCTCCCAGGTAAAGCGCACATCCCAGGCTTGATATCGGTTGGCAGCGTGGCTCTTCAAGGACCTCCAGTCTCATACTCGTAAGCTTAGCCCGAAACGGCCGTCGTAACCAACCTGCCAAGGTGGGTTGTGGGCCGGCCTTCACTGGCATTATTATTATATCTTAACTTGCCACGTAGAGAGTCGTATGCGATCAGCATCACCATGTTAGCATAAAGCATAAAAAGCCAATTGCTGTCTGTCATAATTGAGATGTATGTATTCAAAGGACCTTTGAGAGGAGTTTTATGTTGGTTATTACTGTCCAGCACGACCAGGTCTGACCAAGGATCTGACCACTAAGCTACACATGATAATAATGATATACATGCATATTCCCATGTGTCAATGGTGGAAATGCTTCATATCAACACTGTCCCAGATAGGTGACCAGTGAACATTAAATATTGATCTGAAAGCACCAGCAAATGAAGTACCTGATTTTATGTCTCTCAGGCAATATGCATCTGGGTTGAGCTATCCCTGAAGTAACCCAATTAGTTTGTGTGTACCATTCACACACTATCAACAAATGGCAAGGGTTACTGTCCTCTTTAGGGCAGATTCTGCCTGCCCCAAGCATCTCATCAGCATGTTTGTCATGCTTTCTAGATGACCTGAACAGGTGACATTGCTTTTTTCACAGATTCAATCATCACAGCAACAGTGATGCTTCTCACAAGAACTCTTCTGAGAAAGCCCAAATCAAAGTGAGTGACAAAGCATCATTTTTATCAGGCCCTGAATTGTGGTAAATCATGTATGCAGCTTGTGCCCACACCCAGAATAAAAGTCATTCACTGCTGCTCATTCTTATTATAAATTGTGTTTTTGCTTATAGAAAATTAGTGTCAGTGTTGTGGGTGTTAGGCTAAGTCATATAACTCTGAGATGGTTTCTTGGACTATAAGAGAAGCAACATCAGGTTTGCAACTTATTCCATTAAACTTGGGCATGGTATAAAAGTAAGATCAATGTCAAGACCACACAATGTTTTTCACTAAAAAATTAACTTATTAGGTGGTTTTGATACAAGATGAGTATGTCTCAAAGTACTTTGTGGCAAGGTTACCAACACATTTTCTGTTTTGAATTAATGAAGGTACCAGGGGGTCACTAATATAAAATTATGTGAATCAACCTTTTTCTTTAAGGAGCATGCTGTCTCGGGTGGCTGTTGATGTAAGTGGTCAACTACCTGATATAAATCAAAACAACCTGTTATGGTAAAATGTGTCTTGGTCAACACTAACTGCTTGAAGATGTCAAAAGACATTTCAGACACCTATGTGTGTGGGCCATGTTCAACCTTGTTTAATCTGAAGGTCACAACCAACTGGCCATAACCTGTTCCACAAGTGAGTTCACATAGAGTCCAGCCTAACCTGCAAGTTTGTCTTTATCCTTTTTGTCTCCTTGCATCTTCTTCCCCCCCCCCCTCCCCCTCCCTCTGTGCCCTACTCCAACTCAACCCTCACCTAAGCTCATCTTATCTCACCCTTGCTGGCCACCAGAACACATGTTAAACTAGATTTAAAACTTGTCTTGCTTGGTTGCTTGGAAACTGTGGTAAACTGGCCCCTGACTCAGAGGGAATTGAGGAAAGTCAGCTTTGCTACAAATTCTTATTTTTCTTCGGGTTTTCTCATCTTCCAGGATGGCATGTTGATGTTACTGTTTGTAAACACTTCCTGACATCTTGCCTCCAGTAGTCCCCAGCACATATGTTTGATCAAGAGCTTTTCTCAAAATATGATGTCCACGCCTTCTTTTATTGCTTAAAGGGAGTGGCCCACTGTTCTATGGGGTTTTTAACTGAAGTTAACATCTTGAAGACCTTTTGGTGCAGTCAACAGCCCTGCTCTTCTTAAGACTTTAACACCTCTAGTTTCTGAGCAAAGACAGGGAGAGAGAAAGAAAGGGGGGGGGGGCATTTTGGGGAGAGTATTTGGAAGTCACTGACATTCATGACGTCGTAATAACGCTATTCAAATCCTTCCATTTCATGAGCGCGTGGCGATCAAGGCCGAGAAAACCATCATTGCTGAATCCCTTATATCTGGTGTTCGTGAGCACAATTTGTGGTTAGAGCGGCAGGCAGTTGACTCTCAATCAGTGACGTGCGAGGTACAGTGGCGTTATCAAACAATGCCGCATTGAGCAGCATATCTACGAAACCGAAAAATTATGGTGTCTAGGGCAGTCTTTTCCACTCAAAAGTATTTTCCACACAAATAGCTATAAGTGAGCTTGTCATGATATGTGATGGCTGCTTCAAGGTTCAATATCTTGAACTGTGAAACATTCCCTTTAATACTGCAGGTTTGCCTGTAAATGTTGTTCTGGATTGTAGTGACTCACTGTTTATGTACTTGTATAACAAGTTGTGTTACATATGCTGATTCTGTTTTTCAGGAACGTGATGGTTGTGATCCAGAGCATGATAACAGGGCACAAAAGGGTTGCTATTAGAGCCAGACTCGATGACAAGGTAGAAAAGGTCGACTTTGACCCCTTCAGTAAGTGATTTCTCGCCAGCCTGTTCACTGTTTTGTTTTCTAAGCACATTTTGCGGCATATCATGTATCACTAAACATTGTATGCACCTATCATCTGTAGTTACCATGGCATCCATATATGTTCTCTGGGCAACATGGTGTGCATGTTTTATCTCCTTACCTGCAGGGTCTCACTTTGCTGACCAGAACATCAGCAATGCCATCTGTTTTGTCGAAGTAGTTCCATTATTGCACTTGGGCATCTTTGCAAATATTCTCCAATTGTCTTTATTATCGACTTCATCTGTGCGTATGTGTGGGACTGCTGTCTGCACTCTTTTAAGCCTTGTGCATTCGGCAGTGAACACGGTCGCGTACCGCAGCTCTAATAATGTGGCCCCTTTTCCAGTTCAGATGGACGCGCCATACAAAGAATTGAAGCGGTTACGGAGCATGGGAAAGAAGGAGTAGTGCGTCATATATGTTGTGTTTGCCCATTGGAATAGCTCGCACATGATGTATCGCCTGTGCACGGCTTAGTCATGTCCGACAGGCCCCTGCGTGCTGTGCACGGAACAGTGGAAAGCGATTTCTCAACGTCGGCTTGTGTTTATCAGGCGCATGACCTGACCCGTGGCATGCCATAGCTCGGCGGTCTTCTTGCAATATATCGCTCGACAGAAACTTGAGTCCCTTTTCTGACGGCCTGCCGTCTGATTTGAGGCCATTCGACACCAAGCTCACGCGCTAGCAGCAAAGGTGCACCGCCGACCGCCGGCTGACGCCAGTGAGCGTTGCGATACGTCCGCTTGCAGCTTCCCTCCGTACCCACCCCCTCGTCCCGTTCGGGGTCAGGGGGGATCGAGTGTAAACACGGCTGCCTGCGGTGATACGTGCCCGGAGGGCACCTCGAGTCAGTGCGAGAGTGAACTCCAACGGCGGAGGCACGCTCGGGCAGCTCGGAACGTGCCGCACAGCATATTTTGCAGGTATGAGGATCAAACGTGGGCATGAGTCTTGATGTAGCATAGATGCTGCACTGTTTGCCCGATCCCAGTGTTTTTGCCGTCTGCCATATGCCCGAGTCGACTTAGTTCAGCATCGAGTGTTAACGGGATAGAGGACAGAACTCGGCATGGCCCTGCGGACGTGTTGCGTTCCATTTGGGGTTGGTCCGTGGACAGGTTGATAGCAAGACTGGTTCGGGGCCGTGTGTTGTAAGAGGGATACGGAGATCACTGTGTTTTTGGCAGTTGGTTTGCAATCACCCGATCATCTCGGTAAGAGCAAGCCTTCCGACAAAACTTTCAACGCACGGCCATATGTACCGTGGCGTTTAGAATTACGGATATTGATGCGCGTTGTTTCCAGAAGATTGTGTTGGAAGCCGATGCCTTGCATTGTTTTATACGTTCCAGTAACTATTGTCCCAGATCAACGCACTGTAAATGCAGAAACATATCTGGTTTGATGCTCGAACAGCTTATTTGTTGAAGTGCTTCCGCACCGATTGAGAAGTCGTGGTACCATGGTCTCCAGGAATTCCGTAGGCCCGCGTTGTACGAAATGCGCAACAGAGGAGCTCCCCTCGCGCGCCAAAAATCGCCCGCCGCCCTCTGACTCCGAATGTCCCAACCCCTGTCTTGTTGACAGAACCCCGAACTGACTCGCTCATCCTCACGCAACGTTTAACTTGCTCTGTAAATCGTTAGAAACAGCCACGTGCCAATGTCGTGACATCAGGTCGCGCGGTTGCGGTCAGCTCGCGGCCGTCTGGCCCAGCGGACGGCGCCGCGGCACCGCTGGACGAGTCCACCCGCGCGGAACGGCCCTGGACATGGACTCGCCTGGCTCGCCGGCTCCGACCGTGGCGGCGGCCGTGCAGACGTTCGCGGAGGGCGCCAGAGCCCTGGCACGGGCGGCCGACGCCGAGCTGGCTCGAGGTCAGCGCTCAGGCTCGAGCCGGCCGGCTGGCAGTCTCACGGATGACCCAGGCCTCATTCGTAGCGATTTGCCGCGTGCTTACAGTTTGCAGCACCGGTTGTGCTTTGTTGGGTGATATGTGTTTTGCCCCGAAAGGCTGCTTCGCTATGGCCGCCATGTTTTTCAGGGATGCAACCGCATCGTACCACGGAACAGTTTATTTGCTTCGCGCTTAAAACATGATCTGTGGAGAGGCGAGCTGTGGCATTTAGACGTACAGATCCGTGCTGATTCGCCCTTGCGTAACCCCAGACTGGTTCATGGTTTTAGTTTCCGTCGCCGACTTTGCATCCAACAAGATCAGCATGCTGGGAAAGCTCGCTGAATTGTATGAAGAGCTGTTTCTAAGGTGAGCGGGCAGTCTTCCAAGAAGCAACAGTGCTGTGGTGTGCTGGGGAAAAGTACAGAACGCAGATGACGGTCCATTTAAGGTTTTGAGGTGACAAGACCATGTGATATGTCAAAAAAGCCTCAAATGTTTTTTCCGCGTGTACGTTTTCGGTTGGTTGAACTATGTTCGGTTGGTTTTGGTTTCGGACGAATGTTGGGGCGGTGCCCGGTACCGGATTGAACTGTAGATTGTGAAAACCCATTCAAATCCAGCCCATTCAGTAGGTGAGCTGCGGGTAATATCGCAGTAGCCCACGCGAGACCGGTGATGGCATCCGGTGCCCTAGCTTATAGCGCTATCGGTGTTTTTCGTGAGTTTTTGGAAACCACTAAAGTATGCCTCAAGTCTCTGTCGTGTTCCGAGCCGGCGAAAATGGCCGATGCTAGTACATCGTAAGGTGTTGAAGCCATCGCGTATGCATTGCGTGAGCGACAATGTTGAATTGTAAGAAACCAGACGTAATGTGCTGCTTCTCAGGTGTGGTGTTACATCCAGGAGGCATTTAGACGAATGGACTTCTAGCGATGGCAGCAAAGAATCAGTTTCAACCATGGAGTCTCTCGCGCGAGCCGAGGTAAGATGAGCGAGTGGACCGTATTAGCTCGCGTAATACAACAGCGGAATCGGCCGTTTTGCTCACGTGCGTGTGCCTGGGTGCTGCCTCAGCGACCTGAGAGTTAGACGTTTGTCTGATACGGTTACTTTCCGTTCAGCGCCATTGACCACCGCAAGCAAACGAAAAAAATTTACCACAAGGTGGTAGTCGTTCCCGTTATCTTAGCGCGTTCTTAAGCCAACGATGCCATTGGGCTGCCCACTCCTCACTGACCGCATGACTTGCCCATGACTTGCCCCTGTGCCTTGACCCCTGCGACGTGACCCCGTGTGACGTGATCCCCTGTGACGTGACCCCTGTGACGTGACCCCTGTCACCGCCTGCTCGGTCACGTGTCACCGGCAGGACGAGTGGGACGCGTTCGTGACGTCACTGTCAGGCCGTCTGGGCCCGGCGGCGCTGCAGTCGCCGCCGCTGCTCAGCACGGCGCCGACGGGACTGGTGCTGACGGACGCGGCGAGCGGACGCGCCTGTCGCCTGGCGGACACGCCCGGAACTCGGCTGCTGGTGCTGCTGCGCCACCTCGCCTGACTGCCGTGACGTGACCACGTGGCGCAGCTGCAGCAGCGACAGGTGCGCACAGCCTGCTCTGCGTCGCCGTGGGTCTTCACAGGGGCCGGGCCGGAGGAAACGAGAGCGAGGGTCGCGGCGCCCTTGCCAAGGCATCATAAGCATGGAGTTTCCAGCGATGATGTCAAGCCTTCACCATCTTTTTTCCTCAGCAGCGTGATAGCATTACGTGCCGTCTGCTGCGCCCCGGCTGTGTCGACGGCGCTGGGCCACACCGTGGGCCGTGTCAGTTGAGCTGTGCTCTCCTCCGCGCTGTGTCCGCTGATTGGTGTCGTGCTCCAGCCCCGGCCGTGTCAGTTGAGCTCTCCTCCGCGCTACGCCCGCTGATCGGCGCTGTGCCTCACCTCGGGCCGTGCCAGTTAAGCTGATCGGTGCCGTGCCCTGCCGCAGGCCGAGTTGGCGCGTCTCAGCTGCTCTGTGCTCGTGGTGTCGTTCGGCTCGGTCGAGGGCGGTCGCCGCTGGCTGGCCGACACCGGCTGTCCGTTCCCACTGCTGCTGGACCCGCAGCGCCGGCTGTACACCGCCCTCGGCCTCAACACCGCCCTGGAGGAGGTAGGACGCCCCCCAACTGTAAGGCGGAACGGTGCTCTGCTCGCGCCGGACATCGTGGCCGCGTGGCAGTTAGGAAAGCTTTCGCCGAGCGCGTTGCTGTTTGTGAACGGTGGAGTGATCCCGCCGTGGCCGTCGAGGTAGTCGGACCAGTGGGACGAGGGAAGGTGCTGATGCGCCGAGAAGTAAGGCATGAGCAGAGGTGGGCGACGTGTGATATTCATACCGTGCTGTAACTGTAAGTACTCAGTGTTTCTGCCGTCACTGCAACCGCCTGCACTGTTTAGCCGTTCGGTATCAGATGTATCCGTGTGTTGTGTTTATCACACTCCGTCGTGCCGCTGCGTTCTCTCCGTGGGACACCAGAGATGGCATCTACCTTGTTACCTTCACCTATGACATATCTGCATTATTCCCTTAGGTGACCACCACATGCGACTACCTGATATCCGCTTTACTGTGTCGTACTGCCGTGTTTCCCCCGTCAGCCGCCAGGCGTCGCAGCTGTCGGATGTGTTCTACCCCGGCATGAGTTTCGTCTGCTCGCCGCCAGGTGTGGCAGCACGCTCCTCTGCAGCGACACGCCGAACAGAGGCTGGCCGGCGGCGGTGCCCCGTCGGCCGTCTACGCTGGGCCCGAGGACGACCCGCATCAGCTGGGCGGCGACTTTATTGTGGACGGTCGCGACCGGCTGACGCTGGTCCACTGCAGTGCCAGTCCTCCTGACCGGCCCTCAGTGCAGCGGCTTCTCGACACGCTTGGGAAACACGCCGCTGGGGATCAGTAGGCCGACCAGTGGCGGTAGTCTTGCGGTGCCGGCCTTCAGCGCAGCGTCTGTTGGGGACTAGGAAGGGCGCAGCCATTGTATTCAGCACAGTCGCCTGCCGGATCTGCATATGAACGTAGCAGCCTCTAGGATCAGAAGGGCCAGTGCCGGCCTTCAGTACGGCATATGTCGCACACGCTTGGGGTGCGCACGCAGCTAGGAACCTGCAAAAAAAGCAGCAATGGCCTTGAATGTAGTAACATGCTAACATGCATGGGAGGCACACCCATATGATAAGGGAACCCTGCCGGGACTAGACTGTTGGGTCCCCCGGCTGGCCAGCGGAGAGCGGAGAGAGTGGCGGGCCCCGGGACGGTGGCGGTGGCCAGCAGCCGTGTGATGCCGGCCGGCCAGACCCGGGCGCTCGGGAGCCGGCCGGCGGAGGTCAGCTGCCGGCCGCTGCCGCCACCCGGGCCCGCCAGGTTCGGCTCCGCGCGCGCATCCCGCCTGCAGACACTGCAGTGGTGGGAGGAGGCCGTGTCAGGTGGCAGAGCTGCTGCTGCAGCTACGACAATGCCAGCGATGTCTCACGCAGCTGATCTGACTGAATAAATCGGACATTAAATTAACGCTTATGGTGTTTATTTGGCATATGTTTGTGGCTGATAATAGACTATGCAGGTCATGGTTGTACCTGCATGCGGGGAACTGAAAGGTGACGCAAACGTGGAAATAAAAACACGTCACCAACGGAAACGATTTGAACAGACTACGTGCTTTCCGCAAGCTTTTCACTATCTCACGTCGGTGTGAAATCTGCTGCGGTTTATCGGCGGAGGTATGCTGTGGTGGGGCGCGGCGCTGGTGCGATTATCGGCCGGGTTGGGAACTAGTGACGTCACAAAGTGCGTGCTGCTGAAGCACCGCACCGGGGCCGTCCCGTGGAAGGTCCTGACTTTCCCCTCAGGACAGCACGCATGGTGGGAGCGGGGAAACAGCCAGTCGAAGCGCCAAAAGTGGTCCTGACGTCCTGACGTTCCCCTCGGGGACAGCACGCATGGTGGGAGCGGGGAAACAGCCAGTCGAAGCGTCAAAAGTGGTCCTGACGTCCTGACGTTCCCCTCGGGGACAGCACGCGTGGTGAGAGCGGGGAAACAGCCAGTCGAAGCGTCTAAAGCTCGACCATGCTTGCGAGAGGAGAACATTGTGTCTGTGAACGTCGTAGACGGCCGAGCATCGCTCTGTCTGGTTGCGCGCGCGGGGAAGATGAGCTGGCTTGAGCTTGAGCAGTGTGACACGTTGTCCCAACATGAGCCTTGCAGCCCGGAAGCCCGACGCATGAGGAGGCATCGCCGTGAATCGACCAGAAACCCAACATACACCTTTTTTGTCGCGGCACACTAGTTTTCAACTGGTGGCTGGCGGTGCACGAATTCCGACGTCTTCGACGGCGTCCGACGAATTCGACATCGAAGTCAGACGTCTTCCGTTGTGCCCCCCTCCCCTTTCCGCACAAACCGCGAACCATGGTTAGCCAAAATCAGATGGCATGCGTGCACTTAGTCGGATTCCGTGCCAGCTGTACCACGCCAAGCGCCATGCTGACAATAAGCGCAGTACAAACACTATGTGCCTGCCTGTTTCCGTTCGGCGTTTGAAATCTCGGCCGGTCATGGCGAAACCTCTGGCGCCGATAATCGGCAGTCTTATCTGGAGGCGGGGCGCCACCAGCGAATCGATAAGAGACATGTTCCTGTCTGGCACGATGGAGTCGTCCCGTGAGTTCGTTTAGGCCGTGAACGGCATCGTTTCCCCGAGCGCGGCGTGCCTCCAGTCTTTTACGAACATCGTGGCTGAGCGCCGTCCGATCCACTGCTGGGTTCCGGTCGATGTGGGAACTTCGCCATCGTGGGGTTTGGAGGCAGGAGAGGATAGTCTCAGGACAGTTTCGAAAGGTGTCAGACAAAACAATGTGTCTGGCAAGTTGAGCATCTTCCGGGCTCAGGGTTCAGTGACATCTGACGACCGCCACGGAAGCAACTGGCCGAAACGTTGTGTACCTATCAGCGCACCATACGAGGTCGACAGTCCACAGAGGTGTTCAATCTGTAATGCTAATGCCTCGTCCCACCGTAAAACTACAAGACCGGCACTTCCTAATGTTCACAGCGACTCAGGATGACATATTTATCCAAATTCTTAGCGGTATTGAATAGCGCGTTGAATGTTTGAATCGTTGGTAGAAATATGTGGTCAGGGTGTAAACGCAGGAAGATATAACTGACTTCCTTTTTCTACTGCACTGTACTTTGCAAATTACATTAGTGAGCTAGCTACGTGCAGAGCATCAAAGCAAGGACGCCGGAACACCCGACCAACATTCTTTCTTGCAAAAAATTGACTTATGGCCTCGCGCTGCTGTCACCGTATCAAAGCTGAGCTTAAAATGCACGTGCTCTTAACTCATACTTTGCACGTGCCTCCGTATCCTAAGTCAATGCTGCGAAGGCTTGATAGGCCAGTGCGCTCTACCAGTCGGCGCGATGCCTGTGGGGGCATCCGGAGGCGTATTGCAGAGGGCGGTCATCAAACCCGTGAAGGAGCATTAGTTCAGTGGTTGGGAACGGAAAACTTAACCTGATGGGTTACCAGATGTTATCCCAGACCAGCCGGGCACATGTTTTGTGGGTGTGCGAGCGCGCGTGGCCGGCGAAGTGAGGACACGGGGTGAGCCGCCAGTCCTACCCTGCTACATACCCCGCGTTGGGTCCTGAGCATCAAACTGTCACCACGCACATCGGCGGAACTGCGTGCGCTCATTTTTGAAATCAACGTTTCATCACCCTGCGGGGACGATGGTATCTGAATACGTGTGATCCGTCCCTGTTTTGAAACGATGAGTTGCGTGTTGGTCTGTATGGTCAATTCCAGCTTATCCTTATCCAAAGTGCCCGAGTCCTGGAAGCATTCCACCGTCTTCCCCATCTTCAAATCCGGTGGTCCTGCGGGTCTTAACTTCCGATGCATCTCTATCGTCCCGGTAATGGAAAACGCCATGGGGCGTGCAGTTCAACATCACCTCTATGGCCTCGTCTCCAATGCTCACCTCCTTCCTCCAAACCATTGAGGCTTCAGGCCAAGCCAATCCACTGAAAGCACGCTGGCTTGGATATCCGACTACATCCTAGCTACCAACGACCACGGAGATATGTCAATGTTCTTTTTACATGATTTCAGAAAATGTTTTCATGTGATAACCAATCAAAATTCCAGAGTACGTCAATTGCATTCCTCTTGCAGATCTGACACAATACTTTTCATTGTATTGTAATGACACTCAAAAATATATTCTTAGGATCCTAAAGCCATCAAATTTGCAGCACAAGTAACCTTTCGGTGGAATGAGGCTGATTATGCGTCAGATCTGTTGAAGAAATCCAATTGGCTCTCGGCGAAAGACCATATCTATCGAATTCCACACGTTGACGCTTCTCCACAAGACACTACGTTCTGGTGAGCCAGGAGCACTGGCCAGTGGGTTCTGGGTGCTTTCCCAAATCAGGGACCGTCACACACGCCAGGATCGCCCTGTCCGCGGGCGTACTGGTCGGAGGCCTTGATTGTCCAAACATATCACATACAGAGACAGTAGCTGAGATCTTGCCGAGCCAGTCGGGGAGGTGGCCGGCGGAGCTGCCGGCGCCCTGGCGTGCCCGGCGCGAAGCGTCCTTCGCCCGGCCCGTGTCACGGATAGCGCCCGTGACCGCCGGCGGCCCGCGCCGGGTGCCGGCGCCGGGTACCCGGCGTCCCGCGTTCAGGTGACAGCTCCGGGGCCGGGCGAGCCTCCATCGGCCCGCCGATACGAACCGTGCACCTTAGCCGGCGCCGGCTGGACCGTCAGGCCGCACGAGGAAGAACAGAGAACATCCAACCAATCAAAAGCCAAGACCGTATCTGATCGTCACTATATCACATGCCCGGATGGAAACGACTGTGCTGCCGAGGTGCCACGCAGTATAATTGCCTTCCCTGTGACCTGACACAACTCCCTATTGGGAGGTATACTCGTGTGCTAAGCCCTACATACTACGTCGAAGACCGCCCTGGCCCTATGTCCGTGAAGCTAGCGATTAATTCAGCGATTTATTCAGCGACGAGTTCCGATTTCTCTGAACAAGGGTCTTAAGGTCCATTATGGTATGAGAATACCAAAAATCACCATTATTTTGCAATATCATGACTTTCAAGGTCAAAAGCAGGGTCAAAGAACGGGGAATACGATATCATCCAAAAGCTACCGGCCGATTTTCAACTTGCAAATGTCAGAATATTCACCACGGAAAGAACTGGCGTCTGTCAGAAAGCCCTGAACTCTTAAAGCCACCCTTAAAGGAAAAACGCGAGCTCAAAGAACGGGTAACTTTATTTCACCCAAAAATCACCGGCCGATTTTCAACTTGCAAATGTCAGAATATTCACCACAGAAAGAACTAGAGTACGTCAGGAAGTTCTGGCTTCTCAATGTCACCCCTCAAGTTCAAGCGTGAATTCAAAAGGACGGGGAATTAGATATCACCAAAAATATACCGGGCCATTTGAAAACTATAAGTGTCAAAGCGCTCACAAGCGCAAGAGCTGGCGTCCGTCAGAAAGTCCTGGCATCTTCGAAGTCATCCTTAAAAGTCAAACGCGGGCTTAAAGGACGGGGAAGTCGATATCACCCGAAAAGTTCCTGCTGGTTATTCAACTTACAAACATCAGAGCATTCACGACAAAAAGAACTAGCGTGCGTCAAAAAGTCCTTACCTTTCACGGTTATTCTTCAAGGTCAAACGCTGACTCAAGGGACGAGGAGCTCCAAATCACTCAAAACTTGCAGCCCGATTTTCAACTTACAAACATCAGAATATCCACCACAAAAAACTAGCAGTACTTCAAAAAGTCCTGACCGCTCAAGGCCACCCTTCAGGACCAAACGCGGACTCAAAGGACGGGGAACTCCATCCTACACAAAAGTTAACGCCTGATTTTTAACTTGCAAATGTCAGAATACTCCCCACAAAAACAATAAGCGTTCGTAAAAAGTCCTCCTCTTTCAAGATCATTATTCAAGGTCAAACGTGGGCTCATGGGACGGGGAACTTTATATCACCAAAAATTACCAGCCGATTTTCAGCTTCCAAATGTCAGAATAGTCGCCATAGGAAGTGACTAACGTCTGTGAAGAAGTTCTGACCTCGCAAGGTCATTTTTCCACGGTAAACGCGGTCTCAAAGAACGGGGAACTCCATATCATCCAAAAATTGCCGGCCGATTTCCAGCTTGCAAATGTCAGAATATTCAGCGCAGATAGAGCTAGCGTACACCACAAAGTCCTGAACTTTCAAGGTCATTCTTCAACGTCAGACGTGGGCTCAAGGAATGGAAGCTCCATATCACTCAGAAATTACAAGCCCATGTTAAACCTGCTACTGTCAGAATATTCCCCACAGAAAGAACTCGCGCCCGTGAAAAAGTCCTCACCTCCTCAAGGCCATTCTTTAGGGTCAAACGCGTGCAAAAAAGATGGGAACTCCAGATCACCCAAAAACTACCGGCCGATTTAAACTTGCAAACATCAGAATATTCA